CAAATGAATGTCACCATTTCATCCACTGCACACTAACAGTCTCCAACTAAATGTAGCTTCTCAAAATGAACACATGCAGTGCGATGCAGATGAAAGCCATTTGTTGTGTTATTGACATTGACCTATTTTTCCTGACTCTGCTTCCCCGAGCCACACACTAATAGAGCCTTATCTCCTTTTTTAAAGCTTGTTTTTACACAATTTCTGCTCTGCTAGACTCTACAGAGGGTGGAATGGCAGGAAGAGCAGCAGATTCAGTTTTGAGGACGTGACATGCGGTCAGCAGCATCACTGTGTGATGGTGTTTTGGGGTTTTTCATAGAAATCGCAGGGTGTTGAATGATTGATGTTGGTTTTAACCATTAAACCACTAATTTCCTGTGCAGTTACTGTTTTCAGACCTGCGATCAAATCATTGTTGTACTCAGGCGACTTGACATCAAAAGAGAAAGCTATGTCAACGACAACATCTGTATTGAGTCATTGGTGGTGGTGAAAAGCAAAATCACTAATCACAATGAGTCAGAGGGGAGAGTAAGTTTTCTTTTTATCTTGCCACTCCAAGCACAAGTATGTCAGTTTTGTTTTTGAAGTCTTAGGTCTGACTTTATCTTTACCAACAGCAACTCCAATAGACTTGTCATACAGTTAAAAAGTCACCACACTCCCTCTAAACATTTGCCAGTTTAATTTTGCTGTGCAAAGGGCGATCATTAAAATCCTTGTTAAATATTGTGTAGTAACAAATAATTATTGAGAAATCTATTAATTAATTCTTTCTATTAATCCTAATCTATAAAGTTGCACACCCAAAGTGAGGCCCTCCAGTGACTTATTCTGTCAGACTAACTATCCATGCTTTGAACTTATTGAATTATAAAATGGAGAAAAGGAGCAAATGATCACGCTTGTTTAGTATTATACCTATTTTAACAGTACATTAACAATTGGTTCATTTTGTTTCAAACAAATAATCAATAAGACAGCTGTTTTGAGGGATAACCGTATCTGCAGTAATGTGTACCCAAATTGAGTGCCAGTTTCATCTGCTCTACACGTACTGTATTCTGCATGTAAAGAAACACCAGTTGCCAACAGCTATGGCCAATTAACCTTTAAAATAAAATAATAAAATCAGTGGGATATGTTGTTGCTTTGAAAAAGAAACGCACACACTCTTTAAATGATCAAAAACCTGCTAGATCAGAATACATTTCTCATTTGGGTAACTTCTGGTGAGTACTGTAGCTGAATATCAAGTATTTTGTCCTAAATCTTTTATAGTCTTCATAACCCAAAATTATTCATGTTGAGGCTGTTTGCATGTCCTTGAAATGTCTTTTAATGTCTGAAATTGCAGTATGTTAATAATTACAGTAATAAATGATCCTTAAAGGATAATTTAGGTACCGTAAAACTTCATTTAATAGCCGAGTCCCAAGTAGCCGCCTATCCCGTTTTCGGGCCTGGTGTGGGAACACATTTTGACAAATAAACACCTGCCTAGATTTAACACCTGGTCTAGTTTTAATAGAAGTTCTTTGGATGTATAAAACCTCTTAAACCCAGCGGGTCGCCCACTTTAGCTGTTTATAAGCTGTTTATACATTTAAAGATTAATATTTGTATTATCAATATGTCCATATGAACATGCTACACATTGTTAGATGGATTAGATTCTCCACAATTCAATAGTTCAGTTCATTTAAGGGAAACAACAAGCCCCAAAGTCTAATTCTTATAGATTTACCGGTGCAACCTGCCTAGTAGGCTACAAGAGAGGAAAGGAAATAAAGTGATGACTGCCTTTACCTTTAAAGCACTCATTAAGTCCGCTCGTCAAGTCCGAATGTGTCCGTTCCTTGATTATTTATAGGCCTATTCCTTTAGTCTGTTAGGGTCCACCCATCAAAAGAATCAAAACAGCTTTTCATAAAAATTCATCCAAGTTGTGAATCCTGTCATGTGAAGTCCATTGCTCTCTGTCTGCATAACTTCTCTCATCCTGCACTGTGTTGTTGTCGTGATGTTACTTCAAAATAAAAGCGCGTAAGCTGTCTATTGGAGCTACATCAAATGAATGACATGTATTGAAATAAACTGTTTCATAGTAGTTTCAGTTTTGTGCAAAAGGAATTAAAGGCCTGTCCCATATGGACGCCTGTCCCAAGTATAGCCAGGGTCAATTCAGTGATTTAAGCAAATAAAAGCTCAGGCTATTATTCAAAGTTTTACAGTATTTTAAAACATGGGCTCTATTTTCACATATTTTGCTGTCGAAACGACTAGTAAACAAAAGGTTTTGGAATCGGTGCAGTCGATGGCTTCAGCAGTCAGTCACGAACTGGCTGCAGCATATTCCTTCAGGGCAATGAACTCCTCTCCCTCGTTTTCATCGGCATTTCCTTCAACAACTCATCATCTACTGCACAAATGCCAAATTTTTTGTACCTACATGTTATTTCGACACCAAAATATGTGAAAATAGGGCCCAGGTTTAAAAACATATAAATTTTACTTTAAATAGGCTTCAATAGAGCAAAATTCATTGATAGAAGTCTTATTTAGAGTTTCAGCATTTTTTGATAAATTGAGTTTTATTCTTATTTTTAAAGATTTTTCAAAAGGCTTAAAGTCTAATTTGATGGAACTTGGGGGCTCCTTTTTAATTGCATCTTTGGAAAAAACTTAATTGTTGTAGGATTTTGGCACAGAATAGGTGTAAAAAAAATAAATAATAATAAATAAAAAATCAGTGTCAGTATTCGCTTTAACAAAATATATACCTGTGTAAGTATTTGCTTCTGAAGCCAAATCCAATACAGAGTTATACAGTATCAGAGCTCCTGAAGTGGTGACTAGTGTTCATGTTGCTCTACTAAATAAGGCAACATTTCTCTGTGTGAGAGAGAGGCGCGTGGCTAATTGGCAAGCTTCACATATTCTCATCGATCAAAGTGTGTGTGTGTGTGTGTGTGTGTGTGTGTGTGTGTTACAGCAGATGGTGACTGTGCATGAGTCAGTTTGTGTGTGTGACGTCCAAATGACATCACGCAGACCTCCTCCTTTGCCAAACACACTCGTGTGTGTGTGTGTGTGTGTGTGTGTATGTACTTGTATTTATAGTGTTTCTGCTGTGTGTTGGTACATATCGGTATGCCTGTGCTCTTTGGTTTGTGTAAGTGGCTACTTGTATATACAGAGTGTGTGTGTGTGTGTGGCATATCTTACAGTTGGGCAGGTGGAAATCTTTTTCTGTGTATGTGTTTGTTTCGTGTTCATTGACTCATGAAGGTGCAATCTGGATGAGAGGATCTGCCTCACCACATACCCACACTATTAACACTGATACACACCTCATCTCATGTTATTTCAGGTCTATTTGTGTTGTCTGGCTCTTTCACTCAGCTCTATGTAAGGACCAAACCACACAAAACAAACAGGATTCACTTTGCATTTGTTACCGTTGATTCTGGACTGTAAAATGACAAAACCTGGCAGTGTCTTATGAAAGTAATGCCCTGCTGGGATGGGAATCATTACAGCACAATAGGGACTTTTTTTGAAAGCTGTGTGCGTATATACCAATACGTGATTATTAAGCATTTTTCCATCAAGCATCATCCCAGCCTCAATTCTTCTGGGAAGCGTTTCCACAAGGTTTTGGAGACCTGCTGGAATTTGCTCCCAGTCAACCACAAGAGCATTAGTGAGGTCCAACACTGATGTTGGGCTATAAGGTCTAGCTGAAGGTTGGTGTTCAAGTCGTGGTGGATGGGATTGCGGGCAGGGCTCTATGCAGGCTAGTCAAGTTCTTTGTCACCACACTGGGAAAACCGTTTCTTTATGCACCTGGCTTAATGCTTTACGGCAATGTAATCAGTAACAGGAAAGAGTTTGTCTAAAATATCATTGATTCTGTGACAATATTTCCTTTACTCCTTCCAAAAGTACCAAAGTGTAGTGATGGGTGTATAAATTCTTTGAGTCAAGTTTAAGGGCTTTGGGGTGGATCTTCACATTTGCGGATGATGCTGTTCTTTTTAGCTTCACTGGACCAGGATCACTGGTCGCAAGTGGGTTTATGAGGCCATGGTTCTTTCCCATAAAAAGGTGTCCTAATTTAAAGCCCTTTTCAAACATTTAATCTGTTAACATTGCTGGCTTCTATCTGTCTATTAAAGTAATGAGTTTTGGGCTTTCAAGCATAGGTCTCTTACGTAGCTTGTCTGCTGTGTCTCTATAGGACCTTTTTTATGGATAGAACTGCAACATGTAAAGTAATGATATGAAAGCATAATCAGCGATGGATTTTAACCCTTATTTTGCAGTTTAAGGGTTAAGAAGGCCAAACTAGATCTCTCAGTATATTTAACCTTGTGCTGCTGTATCCTTTACATTAAGTTAACTGCATTAAATTCTGCCTTGAGCTGTGTTGGATGGAAATGTCTGCCGTCATGTCTTTTTATAAATAATATGTCTTTGGGTCTTATCTAAACATAATACCAATGTGTAAAATGTCCAGCACATTTTCATACTAATGTGTCTGATAGGATCTTATTGGTAAGGGAAACCAAGGATTATGAGACTGACCATACCTGAAATGTACTGGCTGCATTGTGTTAAGAGTGCTTTACTATGTAGTACAGTATAATACCCTGCTTTTCAGCAGCAGTTGTTGAGTTTCATAAAGATTTTGGGTTGGGCTTTTGTTACATTCTTCTGTTTTGGGGTGTGTTTATTGCTACTGACAAGTGTCTCAGGGTGTCACAGTCAGCCATGGTGGTTAGAGTGGCTTGTTCCACCTCATCTCCACTCCTTTTGTTGAAATTAGCAATGTGTTGCTTCAGAAACTGACGAAGATTATGAGAGTTATCAGACAACCCACCAGTGCTGCTGAACATTTAGTTACCCAGTTAATACTTGCGTTATTAAATGTTTGAACTACAGAATGAATCAAATTGGGTTTAATGTTATACTTTATTAATTTTTCTCCCCAGAACCGAGCTTCAAGCTGACCATTGAAGCTGTCCTGAGCCCCCAGATGACTGCTGAACCCACAGAACTGGCATGTCATGTGATTGACATTACCCATCTACCCCCTGGAGGCCGTCTGGGTGTCACGTGGGAGCACACTACACTACCTGGTACTTTAAATTCATTTGTCAAAATCTTTAATGCATTCTAACACAGAATTACTTAAACTAAACCTCCTACAGACAAAGTCATTGTTTTCAATCTATTTAATCACCTGCAGGTATAGGGGACGATCCTCAGACCTCACATCCCATTGGCTCCCTGGACGGCAATGGCAATCTGTTGCCGGAATCTATGTATTCTGACAGGCTGAAGAGCGGCCTGTTATCTCTGACCAGAGTCCAGCCCAACACATTCAAACTGCGATTCCTCCGCACACAGGTAGCTCTGTGAACATAATGACTGATGGAAACGGTGATTTATGTGATGACAGGATTGTAGGCAGAATCTTTTTTTTTTACCAAATTAAGGGACCAGTATAACGTGTTTTGTTTTTTATTTAAAACTGGATTTGTTATTATATATCGGTATTACTATATGTTTATTCAGTTTCCAGAGTTACCAAGTGTGTGTGTGTGTGTGTGTGTGTGTGTGTGTGTGTGTGTAAATTTGGGGGAATGTGCAGACCGTTTTAACGTGGTACGTTTTGATATTTTACTCACATCTGCTTGTTTGCTGATGTGATGAAACCAACATCTGTTTCATACCTTTATACGTAGACTATATGTGATACTGCCATACTTGTTTGCAGAAATCAGTATTTTAATTGCTCTTTTAAGCTCATTATTTTGGTTTTCCGGCCTGCAAACAGACAACAACAGACAGTTTGCACAAGATAGTGAACACTTTGCAGCTAAACATCCACATATTTTTCTGAGGAGTGAAGACCTAAACAGAGCTAAAAGTAGAGTGAACATTGAACCAACTAATATTGGAATTACATTCATCAGGTGAAGAGAAACATGACTCCAGATTAATGCTAATGTTTTTCTGTGCATGTGTAAATAGGCAGTGTTTGTTAACCTGTTAGCCACAAGAACATTAAACTGTAATGGTGCCAATGTTGTGTTCTAAGCTTGTTCCACTGCCTCAAAGTGGCCACTATAAGTGTAGTTTTCCTAATGTGAGTTGGAAAATTTAACAGCATTTGTTTATATGTAAAGTAGGACAAGGAAACATGATTTGTTGGTTTAATTATAGCAACAATAGTAATGTTGATCATTGAGTCACTTTCACTCTGTCTGTAGGAGATCGACATGGGCCAGTACGTTTGCACTGTGTCTGCTTGGAGCATTAACAGCCAGGGGGGCCTGGTGAAGACCGCTCAGAACCAGAGCTCGCCTCTGACTGTGCGGTGGGATACCAAACGTAAGGAGCCTTATGAGTCATCTGATGTTTTGTGATTCACAATTAGTCAGATCTAAAACTTATATTTTTCTTTTTAAACTTATTTACTTTAATACTCTGTCTGCACACAACATTTATCCTAATACTCCTGGTCATAATCTGTGATTTAAAGAGGTACCTCTGGGAGAAATTCAGAAACACAGAACCATTAACTCGCATCTATGATTAAGAAAACCAATAATACGCTGCCAGCCAGTCATAGTAACCCTGCTGTTAAGTTTCATGAATAAGCTCTGTCTGCAGATCAGTTCCAGACTTCATAGTAAAATCCCTCAACGTAACAACAGACCTCTTGTCTCAGCCTCTTATTCTCTCACACACACACACACACACACACACACACACACACACACACACACACACACACACACGCTTCCTCTCTATTTCAATCCCACATGTTGAAGTTCGTGTCCTCAATTTAGCTAATTGAGCCATGATGTAACCACATTGCTGTGTGTGTGTGTGTGTGTGTGTGTGTGTTGAGAGAGAGAGAGAGAGAAATCCTGTTTGAATCAGAATAAGTTCATGGTGTAATTGCTTTTCACTTCCTGTTGGCCACCGTTGTGGGATTTGGACTCTCTGGTGGGCTGAATGATGCCTGTCTTAACGTTAATTGATCGACTGGCGGTATTTTCAGGTCCCTCTCTAAACGTTGTGGCCAAGGTCACCCGTGAAGCCTCAGTGGGCGGGGCGACCTTTGAGATGAGCTGCACTGTGACCACTCATAACCTTGGGGAGGCGGGATACTCAGTGCTCATCCAAACACAGGACAACCTTCAGAGCAACGTGAAAACCATCATGACTCTCAGCCCGGACAACGTCCTGCAGCACGGAGGAGCCACAGACCCCAACAGGAGGTACGTACCTGGTTACATATGTACATTAACACATGAACCTTTGCACAATGCACTGGAGTCTGGTTTTGAAATATATTATCTCTCACTCTCCACCTGCTCAGAGACAGTCTGGTTCTGACAAAGTCTGGTGCTACTGAGTTTCGGTTTCGCCTGGCTGGTGTCCAGTTGTCTGACAGAGGTTTCTACTGGTGCGACATCACCGCCTGGACAAAACAGCTACCAGGACAGACTTGGACCAGAGCCACCAACGCAGAGTCTAACAAAGTCAAGATCGACTTTCAAGAAAATGGTGTGTGTGTTGTGCGCGTTTGTCCACACAGAGTTTCAAAACTATTTTCATACTTTGACTAAATTGATCAACATTGATTGGACGGTAGGCATGGGCATTGCTACCCAAATAGCCCAGTATTGAGTAGTATCGAAACATCTTCAATAGGGGTGGGGGCAAAAATTTATACAGAACAGTATCACGATATTTTCCGTGGCAATATTGTGTCGATACACGGACGTCAAGTATCAATCTTTTATTATATAAATTATACATGAGAACTTTACTTTTTGGTACAATAATAACTTAAGAGTTTTCCTTTGGGGACACAATTTGAAGTTGGAAAAAAGGTAATAAATTGCAATATATCACAATATGTTTAAAATCGCAGTAATATCGTATTGTGACATAAGTATCATGATGGCATCGGATCGTAGTGCCTCTGGTGATTCCCCGTAGTGTCCAGTGCTGCAAGCGATACTTTTTGTAACCAGATAAGGGGGGCTATTTGCAGCCAAACACGCAAGCAACACACCTTATGTGCCTGCATGCGCCTAGCCCATGCCTCATTTTAACAGCCCCTTGAAGTGGCTTCAGTCTCAGGAAGTCTCAAGTTTAACTCGGTGATCACTAAACTTTTTCTCTCCTCCTGTCTTATTCAAATTCAAAAACAACTTTCAAGCTATGGCCTTTCTCTGAAAATAGAGTGCATGACCTAATAAGGATAAGGAGCGATCGATACAAATTCCCAATATTAATAGCAGTAACGGTTATTTCAAACAATAACAAGAAAGAAAAAATATCACATGAACAATAATAAAAATAATAATACCAACTATTATGGCTTCAACAGGTGGCATTTTACGCAATGTATCGCATGAAGCACTCTATTGGTATCACTTTAAGGGTACTGGTATTGTAAATTTTAAACGATACCCAACTTTATTGGCCGGTCATGTGTTTGGAAAATCATGTGTTTTTTCCAACACTGGGAAATTTCCCCAGAACCCACAGAATTGTTGTTCGCGGAGAGAATATATTGAAGTACAAGTAAAAAGCTGTAAAAGAAAAATCAACTAGTCCCAAAGAACATGTAATTAAACATCCAATCAACGTGCTTCAAATTCTAGTTAGGGTTGGTTAATAAGACAATATATAAGGTAGATTTTGCTCTTCAGTTTTTACAGGGTTTTTGCATCAGTGTGATGAACTACTTTACTTTTTCAGGTATTTAAGTTAGCCGACAGACGGTTCCCTCTTGTTTTATCTATAAATAGTTTGTCTGTTGAATTTCCACAAAACTGTATATTCCAGTATTAAAAAATTGGATTTTTTGCCTACATTTCAACATGTAGCTTTCCATTTCTTAACAGTATGTAAGCAGTGGAGGAACATTGAGTTTACCTGTAAAAGTAAACTTTCATATTAAGACAAAAAACACTTAACAACCAGCAGCTCTGCCCACTTTGCTACTCTGAGCGCCGACAGTTAAATACTTCTCGTTTGTATCTTAATCTTAATGTAACCCATTAGATTTCTCTTACTTGTTCCTTACTTGTTCTTTTTTAGACATTGTGCTCATTTAATGAAATTTCCTGCAACCAGGCTGTATACAAAGAGCATAATAGAAGACTAACCTTGAGCTAAGAATATCACTAATTTGAAGTGTAGTCATTCAAACACCTATTCACTTTCATAACAATCTGAACAAGTACTAGAGAATAAGTCCATGTAAGTGATCCTGGAAACCCTTTAGTAACTGTCTATTAATAGAAATATTTAAGCAGTTCTGTTTGGTACATTTCTAGGCACGTTATACACACACATATCCTCCACCCACACAGTGTTAATGATAAGCTACACAAATTCCCTAATAATGTGCAAAAATAACACACACGCACACACCTTAAGCCCTTTGACGCCCACCACAGCCACTGGCCTACTTAACTTTCTTTCATCTGACTGGAAAGTGGAAGACAGGAGGAGGAACAGGAGCGTCAGAAAGGAAGGGAGGAAGACGAGGGAGGCGACAAGGAGGAAGACGAGGAGAGGGCGAGGTGGAGGAGGAAAGTGAAAAGGAAAAGGTGATGAGAATAAAGGGTGAGGCGGAAAGGGAGAACAACAGGGAGAGAAACAGAAGGAGAGGAAAGGGGGAAGTGAGGAAATGGTAGAGGAAGGTGAGGGAGTAATTGACAGATATAGAAATGGGGGGAAGGTGGAGGGATGTAAAAAAAAAAAAGATGATGCAAAGAGGAGCTAGAAAGGAGGAGGGAATATGGGCGGGAGGAATGGGTGGAAGAAAGGTGGAAGGACAGTACCATGTGGGGGATGTGATGGGGGAAAAAAACTGGAAGAGAGGATGTGTTGGGGAAAGAAAATGTAGTGTATAGCGCTTTTCAAAACAAAAGTTACAAAGTGCTTCTCAATAAAAGTCTTGAAGCGGCTGGGATAATAACACACTCAGAAACGACAAAGATCAGACATGAAAAATTAAAGTTTTAAACAAGATGTTAAGTGAATAAGATGATTAAATGTTGAGAGTTTTGAGAATTGAAGGTATACCAAATTCTAGAGGCAAAGACGCAGCTAATGTTCTTCTGCATAAACTGATTTTAGCTTGTCACAGATGCATCTGTACTGACACATTTCGGCCAATAAGGAACCAGAAATTGCAGCACAGAAAAGCCATCAAGATATGCTTTGAAAATGTTTTTTAATTAGAGCAAAAGTCTGTAGACATAAATATGGTGGGAGAAAGCTTCACTGTTGCTAGCATTACATAGATAGAAAGTCCCAACAGATGACGGATAAATTAAAGAAGCACAGTATATTTTAGCGTATTCATAATATAATAAAGGATTGTCCACAAACACACTAGTTAAGTTAATGCTTCCTGTAGTTCACTAAAATTGCAATTCAGCTGGTATCAGGATTAGACGTATTTATTTTTTTATATTAAAAGATTGACTAAAATGAATCCATAATTTACTAAAACTTTAGATACTGAGAAAAATGTGTCTTCTGCCACGTTAACGGTAGATAACAGGCAGTGATACGCTGGGTAACGTTTTAGCGCCCACATGAAAACATTCATGTGGGCGCTAAAACATTACCCACATCATGTCTCTGTTATTTAAACTGCAAATGGCTTCAGTGACCTGGAGGAATGAGGAGCCAGTTGGACCATTAGCTGTAGCTAACATTACTTACCTTGTGTTGACCACTCCTCTCTGTAACTTTATGGTCAACTCACTGTCGCCTTCTTATCAGTAAAGCGAGGCTTTATAGCAGAGGTCACTAATAGGTGGGCCGCGGTCCGGATCCGGACCCAGCCACTGTCCTCTCCGGACCGCCGACCTACAGCCAATTTATTATTGACGGAGCGTTTCTATTTTAACCCGCGCAGCTTTTGTTGCACTTACTGTACTGGTTTAGCGGACCAGGAAACTCACAGACCAATCGCATGTGCTCCAATCGTCTCATGTGACGCTGCTCAGCCAATCAAATCTGCATTCCGATGCTTGCGAGTCGAGTCCGCGAGATTCACCAGAGACGTTTTGGAAACACACACGAATTGAGGAGACAAAAGGGAAAAGAGATTTCACATGGCTTTTAATCAAGAATGTACAGATTCTTACATGTACATTCCTCCCACGGGCAGTTCAACACCAGAATATCGCATAGATCTCCAATCCTAGCTGGCAGGACAAACTAGAGCTCACGTTTCTCACTGAACAAGATAAAGTAGGGAAGTGGTTGCTCTATAAGAGGGAATGAAAGAGAAGAGGAGGCATTACAGCTGTTCATTTGTTATGATGTGTTGAGTGTTTATTATAAAATTGGTTAAGACTACACTTCATCACTTCAAGGTACACTTTTTATTTAATTATTTCAAAAAGATTAGGCACTTTATTTTAGTTTACTTAAATTTAGAATTTATTATTAGAGTAGTTATTATTTATTATCCCTCCAGTTTGATGTGAAAACGGTAAATATTCTTCAAATATTATTTGATTTGACAGTCCGTTATTGACTAAAAACATATGTTGATAAAACTATACATTATGGTACTGAATGATAACGCAAGTTAGTCGTTTTGATGTTCCGGACCTTCGCTTCTGGAAATTTTCTCAAACTGGACCTCTTTGAATTCTAATTGAACACCCCTGCTTTATAGGCTGCAATTTTATATATTTGAATACATAGGTTATTGATTACTAATTCAATTTCCAGTGACCCTTTAAAATGTACTGTTATATATGCAGAGTTATGTTTTGGTTGTTCTTAATCTGTTAAATGTCTTGCTTAATATCTTGGTCACAGCTCTTTAATAACCAAATTTAAGGGATGTATATCAAATTATTTGCTTATATTAAGTGTTAAAAACTAATATAATGTTAAATAAATAACATTTTTAAAAAATCTCATATTTAGATTGGCCTTGAGTGCAGTATATGTTGAACTATACTGGGAGTAGGCACTGGTTCAACTCGATTAAGAAATATTCCCCCTGTAGTCCCTCCTCCCTAACCATTACTTTGTTGGAAGATGGGCTGCAGCATTTTGAACCATCTGAACGAGGTTTGTAGGAGGCAGAAACGCTTTAAGACTATAGGAGCAAAGAGATGTTGCGGAAAAGATGACTGTGAAGGAGAGAAAGATAGGAGGGAAGACGGACTGAAAGAATATCTTTCTCTGGGGAGGGCAGCAGCCCTTGAGCATTACTTCCTCTTTCTCCATCACTTCTTCCTCCCCCGTTCTCTCCGCCGTCCTCTCATTCTCTCCCCCCCCCGCCCCCCCTCTCTCTCCCTCCCTCTCTCTGGGACATCTTCAAAGCGAAGCCCTTTGGCCAATCAGCCAGCTGCGGAGATCTGCACCGCTGCTTTCCTTTTCTCTGTGTGTGTGTGTGTGTGTGTGTGTGTGTGTGTGTAATCTTTCAAGTGTGTGTATCCATGTTGAACATTTTGAGTTGACCCCACACAGAACCCCCCCCCCCCCCCCCCCCCCCCAACACAGACACACAGCATTCAGCATTCAAAGCTTCAAGCTGAGCAGTTTTCAAGAACCCCTTATACTTGCCTTAAGGGATGGAAGTTCTGTGCACTCAGTCGTAGGTGTGTGTGTTTGTGTGTGTTACTAGTACATCCACAAACTGGCAAGTCTCCCAAGGTTCCAGCTGTATCTTGAATGTTTCAGACGTGTTGTGAAATTTCTGCCTGTACTGGGATCTTCTATGAGGACACGTGCAGTTTTTACTACACATTTACTATTAAATAATTCAGCGTTTAAGTGATTCCTGTAGACAAGGGGCAACATAAATATGGAGTGTCCAGAGGAAAACGTGCCAGCTAAAAGATTTACCAATGTCCTGCTTCCTAAGTTGTATTTTATGGCTTTAAGTCTGACCTTTCAAACATTTCCAATTATCCCAAATCTGTAAAGGGTAATTCTGTATTTTTAAAAGTTCATTCAACATTCCCTTGGGTTGTTCCTTTAGAATTTCAAAGGAAGGTGAACCTATTATTCAAATGAATGTAAATCTTCATTAGATTTTGCCGAGCCGCCCTCTGTTTTGACCCTCCGTTTTTACTATAATTGTTCGGGGTGTGTTCTCTTTGATTTTCACTTCCAAATAAGTGGTTTACATACTTTGGTTAAACTGGAGCCTGACGTCTTCAGATCTCAGTGCTGAAATTGGTGAGTAAATAGTAGAACCGAAAACAAAAAAGAAGGCCCACGTTGTAAAAAGAAAATAGTGTGAATAGCCTCTGAAATGCTGTGATGTGGTTATGATGCATTTTGATTATTTATTGTAAAAGTAATGAATTCTGCATTGCTCGTCTTGCTCTGTGAGTTTTGCCCTGGAGGGGTTTCAAAGCTGTTCCAAAGGCTTTTCCATCTTGACAACAATGACACTGAATACAATACATGAACATTTAAGGCATTGTTTTTTAGTAAAGGAGCCGTTCGGTTCGAATTGATTTTGACACAGCCAAAAGCTGTTGATAAAGGCGGCGCTGCAAGAAGACATGTTCACAGCAGATTCCAGTAAACACGATCCTCTCGTGGCAAGGACCGCTCAGAAAACACTTTTAGTAACACAAAGTGAAGAGAAACTATAGCTAATTAAAACTGCAGGCAGCGTTGGACAGGCCCTCATATCGCGACAGTTGCCAGAGGTCATCAGTAAGGCTCTGAATTATGTGTTTTTTGAGGCCTCACGAAGCAGTTAAACATCACTTCCTGTGTGGCGCTATGTGAACATCCGCTAAGTTGTGTAGCAGTACATCAAGTGTAGTGTACACTGAAAATTTCACATAAATCAAATGAAGAATATCACACAGAGCATACTTCCTGTTGCCATTAGGGGGCGCTATGACATTGCTTGAATTGTGGCTTGTAGATGTGTTCAGAGCAGGACTCTTATCAAACATGCGAAGTTTCATACAGATATGGACATATACCCTGAAGTTATCACAACTTACTGTTTCATGGCGAATCATCAATTTTCAACGCCACGGACACGCCCTTTCGACAAAAACTCACAGATGGCACAACTTTTCATCGTCAAAATGCGCAGCAAAAATTTTAAGTCATTAAGATTAATTGTGTAGGAAGAGTAAAGTACGAAATTTGTAAATCGACATAAATGACCATCAAATTTAAAATGGCCGACTTCCTGTTGGGTTTAGGGCATTGGTCCAAGAGGCTTTTTTGTAGGTTTGGATATGATACATCTGCCACAAACACTTCATACATTTTTGAGCAACGTGGCCCGGGGGCTGCTCTTTAGGGGGTGCTAGCAAGCCATTCTGCTACACCAATGCGCAAAAACAAATGACACGTAACACGGGACTTGTATGTTGTGCAAAGTTGGTGAGTTTTCAAGCATATTTATGAAGGGCAAAAATGCGCTGATATTTACTACTGCTGCTGTTAATAAATAAGTCCATCAAAGTTATTACATAGTGCCCCAAAGAAGGAATAATGAATATATATAGTATCTCGTAGCAATGTGTTATGCAGAACTGGGCCTTAAGTGGTTCTTGTTAGACTTACTTTATAGGAAATACTTTCTAGCTCACTTAGAGATCACCTTTGCCCTTGGAAGATGGTCCACTTAGATCTATCCACCTAGTGTATATGTAACTAGAGTGTATGTATAATACAGTATGTTGGTTTACATAACAGCAGTTGGTTTGTCTGCCCATCTGTCTGTCGGCCAATCCATCTGTCCCAATGCTTGAGTCCAGAGCTAAATATTACAAGAGCGTTGTGACATTTGGTAAGATCAGGATGGTTCCTGGTGACCCCCGTCGAAGTTTCTCCTTGTCAAAAAGTGGTGAACTTATGTGACTCTAGATTTTCAATACTCTGGGTTTGACAAGAAAGATCAAAATGTAATAGACCTTAACATGTTTACATGCCACAGTAGGAAAAGCCTGGTGACTAAATTCCATTTATCTGCTCCAGAGTTCGAGGGTTGCTACCATACCTTTTGTAGCATTGCGCACAGAAAGCATGCTTCTGAAAACTAAGATGGCAAACCCGGCCATACCCATGTCTTTTAAGACACTCAACTCACTGAATTTGTGACCAGAACAAAACTCAAAGCAATATTTTTGCTGTATTTCATCCATTCATGACTGTTGGCTCACCAGGCTAATGCTCTCTTTCACTCCTCTCACTGGGATTGAGTATTATCTTGCAACACTCGACCTGCAAACAGAAAACTTATTTGTATATATTACACTAGAAAATAACCAAACAGAACTTCTACTTTGGTGGGCAGCAGAGTGCTAACAGAGAGCCAAATTCACCGTAGACCAATTTGGAGACAGTTTTTGTTGACGGAATATGTGGAAATCCACCTGTAGGTTCGACTCCATAACTCCACGTTCAAACCCCAAAAATGTTATTAGTTTTTATCTGCATTGCTGATGATAAATGCTATTAATATAATTATCCTAATACAGTGTATTTAAATTAAACTTTTTTTACCTACACCACAGCTGTTTGCTCCGTTTGATTCCAGCACATCAGAGGAATCTCAGGCTGTGACTTTAAAGCAATGTTTACCACCTGAAAGCTGAGCTGAACGCTATTTTCTCCCAGTATGCTCACATTACTGCATTCCTCAGGGATGTGAATGCAGAATTATAGCATATGTAGGTTTAAAAACAGTGTTTAAATGAGTCCTTTTGATCTGAGTTGAGTTTCTGTGATGTTTGCCGTCCGTGTCAAATTTCCTTTGAATAAAGCATATTTGAGCTGATCTGCTGGTGTTGCAGGCCCGACCTTCTCCATCACCATCCACTCTGACGTCAGCAGTGTTTATCCGTGGGAAACGGCCAAGATGGAGTGTTCGCTCAGCGTCTCTGGATCCTCACCAAAGACTGGTAAAATACACACACACACACACACACACACACACACACACACACACACACACACACACACACACACACACACACAGTAAATCACTATCAATTACTGTTACTGTTTTTTCTTTTTAATTCTCTGCATTGTTTTATTGCTATTTTTTTACACACATGCAAAAAGAAACTCAACCGTAACACACACACACTTTGTACTTCTGCTGCGTTCTTTGCCTGCCAACTTGTCAACAATGCTAATAAGAATGATGAGATTTCTGCATTTCACATGGTTGTATAGATGAAATAGGCTCTCTGTCTCTCGCTCTTGTTAACTCACACTCTCACACACAGCTTTCTATATTCTCTCACTTTTAGGGTGTGTGTTTGCGACTTGAAATACTGGTTTCTACTTGTGCTGTAGATTATAGTGACATCTATCTATCTATAACTATTAACTTTCGCATCTGTAATGAGCTTAAGATCAGATCAGGGTTGCTTTTAATCAGATTAATGTAGAGAAATCAAACTACAGGTAAACAGGAAAAACAACATTATGGCGTCATATTAACCTGCATATAGATTCATTATGCATGGTGCACACTAGAGGATTTTCAAATCTTTACTGTTTTTAAAAAATTATGAGACATACCAACAGATTGAACCAATTTTTTTTAAATATTGTAATCGTAATAACCCACACACCAGACGATTCAGTCAAGATGCGGGATCTCACAATAGTCGATTTCAGAATGCCGGTTCCCGGGGACTTGGGATCTCACAGAAACTTGGGTGATCAAACGTGACATTAACGGCCCAGTTATTCTCTATTGTACATAACATATCGATGGTGCAACACTATGATTCAGACCAACGTATCTTGATTATTATAGTGCAGATTTCCCTAAAAGATGCACTGGATTTATATGCTCCCCAAAGGATAACTCATAATGATTTTATTCATACCCCTGACCTTTAGTGCTACCATCAGGCCAAAACTGCCACTTGTAAACAAAAAAATTTAACTGGCAGATTGATTCTCCCCAGAGGATAAATCATTTCAGTTTTTGACCCTAAATGATGCTTCCTCCAGCTCCGCCCTCAGGCCAAAACATTTGCACACTAGATATCTCATAAAGTAATTCACAGATTTCAGCTTCTTAACTGAGGATTTGCTGCACTACACCTTGTAATTTCTTTATGAGCAATGGGTAATTAAATGAGAATTTTCCTATTCCAAGCTTTCTTATCCTGTGGATACGTTCTGAATATTCATTCTCATGAGTAAGTAAATAGTTTATCATTACGGAGTTTGTGATATTTGTATTAAATACTATTTTATCTCCATGAAAATTTCCCAGTGGTGGAAGTACTACATAGATATTTTGCTTAAAACAGTTCTAATCAATATGTTTTTATCAGCAAGGGCTCAAATTACTGATGTGATGTTAAATGTCACTCGTAGTGATGAACCTACAGAGAATTAGCAAGCTCCACGTAGCTTCTTAGCATCTTTCAACTCATTGATTTGATTGTAAGGCCCATAACTTTATTGTTTCAGTTCAGTTTCACAGCTCTGATCAGCAGTGCAAATTTTACATATAGCTGGTTTAATAATCTAAATCAATGCATCAAGCTGATCACATCTTTTGTATGTAAAATATTAATCTTTAAAGTAAATATAAACTACTTCTGTATGATAAATGTAGTAGAGTAAAATATATAACTTTTCCCTAAGTAAGCAAAAGGAGTGATACAATTAAATGGAAATATTCGAGTAAAGTACATGTATATCTAAAGTACAATAAATGTTCTTGGTTGTGTTCTACCAATGAAAAATCCCCATATAATAGAAATGTCTGATGCTGTTAAAAGAAATTATTTGCACTCCTTCCCTTCTTCAAAAACTGACCATCTGTGGTGTTAATAACCCCCCCCCCCTTTTTCCTTCTGTCCCACCCCCTGCTTTCCTTTTCTCCCTCACTCTAAACATCCATCCATCTAAACATCCATCCATCTCTGTCCTTCTTCTCATCCTCACTCCATACTCTTAACTTTAACACATCACATGACGTCATGCATCGCTCCTTCCATCTGTCACCATCTTTCCCTATCTCATTCTCTGTGGATCTTCCTTTACTGTCCAACATGTCTTTTCTATACTATGTCCTTATAGTGAGCAGATAAAACCCATTACAGACCTCAGGGTGGGTGTGGGGTGGGGTGTGTTTGGTTGATTGGAAATAATTATGCAAAGACAACCAGATCAGAGTACCATTTCCAGTAATGTTTGGACATATGTGAACATGTTTCTTTGCACCTGTGTCCTCACAGGAACGTATGTTTGTGCATGCATGTAATGTATGCCCATACATAAACACAAATATTCACTTGCAGCACTGTAACGCTGCAGGGATTGGTGGGTTTGGTGGTTGTGGAGCGTGCTCTCACAGACAGCTGCACCATGGAAAGAAATTCCCCCTCAGCATCACAGCTGATAGGGAAGTTACACATGGACGTGTTCACAATGGGAAGGAAGGAGCAAGTGTTATAGCATACAGGAATATACTGTAGTATTATAATTATTGGCAGCAGTAGTGTAGCAGTGAGCATAGTGTTTTTAGAAGTTGTATTAGTTGTCATATACTAGCTTGTAATGGCCACGTAGGGTCCATCAAAATAACAACAGAATAACAAAAACACATTTTTCTCACTGACAACTTTTTGACCAAATATTTCCAAGAATTATGGAACCAAAAGAAATAAACTCCAGAACAAAACTGGAAACACAAGTCCTGCATGTCCTTAAGATTAGACCGATGACAGATTCCTGTCCTGACGCAGATTTAACACCCACGGAAACGACAGAAATATCACTTTGTCTTTTGTATTTTCTGTTACATGTTGCTCATTGTTCGATGAAAAGGAAACATGCACAGGTGGAAAAGGTGAGGGGGAATTTCTGCTCAAAGTTATATGGGTATTTATTTCTGCTTGAGTGTGTAACCATCTGAAACATCATCACACAGTTCTTCCTTTTTTTGTTAAGGCAGTTGTAAAGCAAGTTTAAGCAGCTGCTGGGTCACCAATCAACAATTTTCAGCCCTGCAAACTCTATCCTGATAGTTCCTGAACCTTTTGGGAAGTACAGAGACTTTCTCTTTTGGCGCTTATCATTGAGGAACTAAATTTAGTCTCTGGCCCCTCCGGTCGAAACACGGTTTAGTTCTTGAGTTCCTCAAAAGGTTCTCAGTCCCATGGGAAATTTTCTGCAGCAGACAGCCCAATATTTCAAACTAATATAATATTTTGTGTAGTACTCTGTAGTGTTTTGTACTGGATTTCAGCAGTCTCTTAAATTCCAGCATGAAACAGTTCAATAGGTGAGGCGCAGTGTTCAACCAAGAGGGTAGAAAGGTTAATATCTCTGCAAGAGAGGCCACAAAGTGAGCAGTGTGTTAGGGATTTTTTATTGGGGGTTGGGGTGATAAAAAAAATATGGTAGAAATGTGTCTTTGCAGACAACAGTGTCCAGCAGTTTTCACTGAGAAAACTTTTGACTAAAAAAGTCTCTATAAAGTGTTCCCTGTGAGATCTGTGGATTATCAGGGATGTTGTGTTCCCAAAGACAGTTTTGCAAATGTTATTGTTTTTCTTTGTGGTGGCGCAATTTAAGGGACAGATATCTAAAAACCTATGCATCAAATGAATCAAAATGCAAGGCTGGATACAGCGAGACATGAAAAGTTTTTGTGTGTTTTGGGTGATCTGACCTCTTAAAAAAACAGTGTCGTTCCATTAATTCAGCCTGCTCATTAGGCTGCTTCCTCTGTAGTCACCGTGACTCATGTTGTTTCAGGGTGTGGGGGTGTGTGTGTGTCCTGTTGTCAGGTTTCAAGCTAAACTGTAACTAAGTGCCGTCTAGTAATACAGTAATTAAATACCAGAGTAGGAACACATGTTGTTGTAACGGTGAAGTGCTTATGAGGACATAGTTCTGTGCCTGAGGAGAAGATTGGCATCACAGTCTCCACAACCACCTGAATCGAGGCAGTACATCTGGTTCCACTTTGTATGCCAGTGTAGGTATTTTGCTTTGTAGCAACATTTAAGCCAAAAATCTGTTTCACTAAACACTTGATATACTTTCACACGTTGACAAGTTACCTCCACCAAGGAGATGAAGTTCCTAATTTTTTAAAAGGCTCCTACAACGGCTGGGCTCTGTAGTTGAGAGCAAATGTTACTCAGACAGGAGTGTGTGGTGCATTTGTTGGGGACTATATTCAGCTGCGGATTGATACACATTTGGCGCTCTAGTGAGCATATTCAAAGCAGCAGGACGGTGTGTGTGGGAGTGACTCAAAATAAAGTACAGTGTGAATGTTCAAGGTAAAAAAGAACACGTCACCCAGTGCAACAGTGTGGCTCCCCGCTGTATATTTAATAGTTTTTAGACAACAATGGAGGTCTGTCGCAGAGGAATAAGATATGTCAGGCTTTGGATACATAGACAATACTTGTTAGTCAGATCAGTACATTGTTGTACAGCTTTACAGCAATCGGTGGAAAACATAGACGATCAAAGTGGTGTGCAACGAATAAAACATGAAACAAGCCCATGTACAATGCAAAGCAAAAATAAATCATGCATCACATAGTGGTTTGGATTAAATAAAGAAAAACATAAAGTCTATAGTCAATATACATATAATACATATAATGGAGACATAAATTACACATTACACATTGAAAGCTATTGTGTATAAACGAGTCTTAAGAAGTGGAGTGTAGGGGCCCTGACATCAAAGGCCCTGTCTCCTTCGGTTTTTAGCCTAGACCTTGGAATAGTGAGCAACGGCCTACCAGAGATCTCAGTCTGCATTCTGGCTCACAGAGGGATAAAAGCTCAGATGTATATGAAGATGCTAGCCCATGTCTGGCCTTAAAAGTAATTAAAGGCCAGACATGGGCTAGCACCTTCATATATCTCTGATATATCTTTGACAACTCACCACCATTAG